ATTTTGAAAAACTAAAGTCTATTTCAAGTGTCAAGACAGAAATTTTCCATTCATTCAATTCTTATTCGTCAAGACTTCCCACTTTTCTGGACTGCCTTTTGTCATGGTAACCAATAACATGTAACTTTAACCTATGTGCGTCTGGAACTTGCAACAAACAGACGTTTTTCTATCCCGACAGCTATCCTTGTGAAATATGTCATTTCCTCCTGTTCAGCTATATCTTAAAGATCTGCACAGATGCTTCTTTATACTTTCTTCAACATTAAAAACAACATAAAGGTTGCCATATATATATATATATATATATATATATAACAACAGAGGTTTTCTTCAACTCCTCACCTGGAAAGCCTTCAAAGAGAGAGTAGCAGTGTCTTTGTTCTGAAATAGCTTTTCTATGCTTCTCTTTTAGAGCCTCACAAGCCTTTTGCTCAGATTCGCACGCTAATTGCACTCTTTCCAGTTTCTGCAAAGAAAACCAACTATAAATGATGGAAGTGCTTGATTTCTATCGGTCATGGAACCCCTAAAACAGGCAATCAAGTTATATCCCAGCAAAGACATTTTAAATGATACCATACCCCTAGCCACCCAAAAAATTGTGAGACTAGCCAAATTCAGAAGTGCGTAGTTCCTTAAGTATCCATACACGGATTGAACTTCTTTTACATTTATTCCCTCATACTGAGACTTGTAAAACATGAATTCAAAAGATCCCATCGGCGTAACTGTCAGAAGTTTGGACTATCAAAAACTAAAGCTGACAATTAAATTCTTTTCACCTCAGCTTGCCAAGAGAGATAAAAAGCTAAATCCTTGTACACCATATCTTAGGCACTTAAATTTGTATTTCAATATTAAAGTGTTCAGTTCTTACATCTTCACTTCTTTCTGTAACAAGCGGTCAAAGGCCATGGAGATGCAAAAGTAGGCTAAATGAAACCAGTCCAACAGACAAAACCAGAAGAAGTTAAATAACATTACAGTTTCCATGTTATTGAAGTTTCCGAAACCGACGAGGGTTGAGTAATATCAAGGTCTTCAGGTTCAGGCTGTGCTCAACAGTTAACCTCTTTTGCCATTGAAGATACTTGTACAAATATCAGTTTGGCAAGGAACATGCCCATGATGCTTACAGAACTAGCAAGAAAGATCAAACTTGGAAAAAAGAGTACCCACAAAAAAGGGTAACAATAGGTCTCGGAATACACCTAGCCAGTTAAATTACAAAAAGGCCCTTCACTACATCAAAATCTCACAATGAACGGAATAAGAAATATAAAATGAAAACTACAAAGTCAGTCGGAAAACTAACAAACAAAAAGGCTCCTAGCCGAGAAGGCAATAAAGGAAGCGGCACAGAGTTGTCCAAGATTGCACATATTCCCCATACTAGTATCCGTTGAACAAAGTCAGTAGGAAAACATAATTTGTTGATTTTCATGTTTCTTTGTTTCTTTATAACTTTACTGTGAGCAATATTTCCTAGCCGAGAAGGCTTTTTGCAACCTTAAGTTCTTTTATTGGGCAAAGATGGATTTAAAAAATTCGATAGTTCACTAATGATTAAGGTCTTTCAATGCAACTAAATATAAGCCTGTGAAGCATTTGATTGACTTGTAAGACAGACCAGCTAAATTGATTTTTTCTTCACATGCATGAAAAATAATAACACTGGCACCCGCTGAATCCCCTGCAGAATGCCCTTCATGGAATCAACGAGTTTTGTTCGGCCAGTTGGGCTGGTGATGGCGTTTTGGAACTATTCAAGTTTACATGCAACCAAAAAATGAAGGATAAGAATATATCAATTGTGTAAAAATTAAACAATCAAATCAGTTCCCAGAATGATATAGTACTCAACTGACAATATATTGCACAAGCACAGAAGTTTAAAATGGTCAGCATGTTAAACATATGCAGCAGAGTGTCATACAGCATGTTAAGAAATTGGCTTAATTTCTTTGGGCAGGTTCCTTGCTTTGTGTGGAAATAACTAGTTTCCTAATTGTTTAGTTACTTGAAGTAGTTGCCAAGTTATTTCCTATTTTGTATTAGTTTAGGAATTAGAAGCTATTTCCTATTTATTATAAGTTTAGAAATTCATAATTGTTTCCTATTGTTATTTGGTTCTTGGCCAAGTAACATTCTCTATAAATAGATAGATTAGCATTCTACAGAGACACACAAGAAAAGGGATGAGAGGGTTCTTGATAGGAGAGAGTGGTTATACAAGGGTTGAGTTTGGGATTCAAGTTGTAATCTTGTAGTATTTTTCTCTCACAATAACAACAGGTTTTCTCTCCAAGGATGTAGACTTGGTGATTAAGGCGAACCACGTTAATTCTTATGTATGACTCATTATTCGTGCTCGTTCTTGTTTTCTATTAAATTGTTGGTTTTTCATATCTCAAATAGTTGGCCTGATACTCTAACACAGCACAATCCACAGAAAGTGACTTTCCAAAATAGCTTTTATGTGTTGCTTAAAGTAGCAAAAAAGGCACATATAATTCATGTTCACTACGGAAGTCCCGAAAATGAAATCAAAAGCATCGACCAATCTGCCACAGACATAAAATTCTTTGATATTGTGGTTCTACAGTGACACCTTTGCCATTTAAGCCATGCCTTGTCTTCATGCAGTGTCCGATGGAGTTTAACTTTTACAGATTGAGGACTCTACATCAATTAAAATTGGATGAACTCAGAATAATATGCTCTAGCGTAATTTGCTGAACCATGTTATTTCCTCTGCCTCCAAATGCTCTTTTGAATGTATGTGATCGTTCATGCAGAAGTTTACTGCCTTCTCTCTTTTTAGGAACTCGTGTTAAGTAACCTCTTACAATATTGAATGGGCGTCGGATGATTCTACAACACCCTTTCTATGTTTGGATTAAGTTATTATAGTGACTATTTAATGTTATAGTGCCATAGCATGACCCGCTGAGTGAGAGGCATGTACTTATGGATGTTCTCTATGAACCAAAATTTATAGAAGGGGATAGATGCTTGCGGATTGAGACGATTTTGTTGTAACTTTTTGCGCTTAATCAACCCTTGCTTCTTATGATATGTTATGCCATTCATTTGTAAACATCTAAACTCCTTTCCAGTTTAATTTTCATATCTTACACAGTGCAGTCTCTACGTACTGTAATTATTTAACAACAATACCAACCTTATGTCTTTGTTGTTTCCAAACATTTGTATGTATCTGTCTTTTTAACATGTAGCTCTTGGAAGGTTATTTCCATCTCAAATCAAAAATTTGATTTTCTTTTTTTTTTTAATCAAAAGATCTGACCTCCTTATAGCTTGGTTTTCTCATCTATAATTAATGTCACTCCTTATGAATACAGTGCTATATCAAGTATGCAATATAGAAAAAATAAATTATCTTATCTGCATTTGTTTGTTGCTTGTAGTGGTGCTTCCTGTATCAAAAAAGAAAGCAAAATAGAAAAAAACAGATTAGCTAATGGCCCACATTTGTTTGACAGCTTAAACAATGCTCCACTTTAGATAGGTTTTTGGTCTTAATCAAGATAGGTCAAGGTCGCGTCGGAATGATCAGTGGCTGCTTAGTCTCATCTGAGAGTATAATCTCCTTTTACTGCCTTTTTGCTTTTAAAAAAAAAAAGAAAAAGAAAGAAGTGCTCCCTCTTTCTTTTGCAGATAAGTCATCCTTAAAGAAAGGAAAACCGGGGGGTGATGAGAGTCAGAGGGTAGCCCTGCTTTTCAACCATATTTAGCATAGGAAGTGGGTGAGAAGATGTCTCGTATTCATCTGAAATGGCTTTCGTCCTCTTTTTTATGCTTGTGCATTGTGGTGCACTTCTGCAGAGAAAGGTACAGAAAAACATTTGGAAGGTTCCAGTGTCCTTTTGGAGGGTCAGAGCATCCTCATTTCTTGATTTTTGCGTTTATCAATAAGTTAGGTGCATATGATGTGCAAATAAACTTTTGATCCTATTATAGAAGTTTCATGCCTTCTTCCCAAGAAATAGTGGCCCGTGTTAGACAGCCTTATGAACCTAGACTTTGACTTCCTTTACTTTTTGCTTTTCATTTGAAACCTTTCCTCCCAATAAAGGATGGAACATTTTAGATGGTAACGCATCAGTGAAAAAGTTCAATTTTTTAATTTCTGGTTCCACTGAAAGTAGGATGTGTAGGAAATTAGATGTCTGTGGGTTGTTTTAGGCCATTATATGTGCTTTGTAGTAAAACTTTTGGTTATAGAATGCATTCTCTTGCTTGCACTTGGTATATATATGAAGTTGATGCTGTTGAGAACCCTGGCATCAAAATCTATATCAGGCAGATGTTATAATGGCCTTAGCGGGATCCAGTGGGGGATCTTGGTCAACAACCTTCATGCCAAAGACCACTTCAAGGCCATTCACGGGAGAAAATTGCACACCAAGTGGTAAAAGCAATCCAGGCATGACAGGTAGCTTAGTTTTACAGCCGGAAGTGCATGGGAAATCGTCAGTCCGGGTGAACTCCTCTCATGAGTTAAGCTCTGGTGAGAATTATCATCCCCCTCCGTTTTAGCATCTTGTGTATCAGTTGTGTTCTAATGACCAATGTGATGTCTTCATAAAGGGCATTGAGCAAGATGTGTATTTTGGTAGAGTAACTCTCATGGGGTATTCTTCCTTGGGATTGTTTTATCAAATGGGCTAGCTGACTTATCTTTAGCTCTATGGGGCAGTACAAAGACCTTTCTATGGCACAAACTTTCTTTCTGTATATTAAAAAAAAAAGTCTTTTTCTTAATTTCTTCATGTTGACGGTATTAAAATGCTTCTGTTTTTTCAGAATCCCTCTGATATATGGGACATCTTGTTCAGGTACTCAGCGGGAGGAAATGCTGAAAAAGGATGCAAAAGCTCCAAATCATGCAGCTGATGTTTGAAAAACATGAAGTATGATGTGGATTTGCGTTTGCCTTGGCCTCACTAGTCTAGTTCTTCTTCAAGGATGAAATTTTACTGCACTTGGCCTCAATTTTTCAACATTTTCATACGAGGTATTTACAAGCAACTGTCATCTGCAGAGACTTCATTAAGGAGTCCAATTGACCATCAGTTATCATCTTTTGCAAGGCAAATTCTCCATGCACTCGCAAGCATAAGTTATTCTTGAGTGCTGTATTAGTACAAAGAATTGCTCGCCTTCAACTTAATTCCAACATAATTTTGTAAATTTAAATTAGGAATTTGTCTAATTAAGCTTCATGTTTCTTATAATTGATTGTTTCATCTGATTGCTGCTGCTTTTGAGTCCACCCACCATAGTGCTAGGGATTAACAACAATGCCAAATAACAAGCATCTGGGGTCCTTGATTCATCAAACCTAAACTTCTAGAGTAAGATCTTTGGCAGTTGCAAAGAATATGCTTGCATTAGACTGATATGATTGTGATTCATAACCAAACAGGAAAACAGTTATTGGTTTTTTGTGTCTCAAAGAATTTACCAGCAAAAGTTGTTTGTTTCAAGCCCAGCATTTTTATTTCAGTGTGGGTTGTTGTGATGTGCTACCACCACCTGCAACAGGGATAAGGCTGTATTTTGTTCATTGACTTTGAACTGCTTGCCATCCACTTTTGCATTACAATGTTATTTTACTTGAGCAGAATGTAAATCTTCAAGATTTCTGGGCTATATGCAAATCTATCGATTATAAATTGACTAATTATCATGTGATGTTTCCAGAAATGGAAGCCGTTGCCTCTTATGGATTACATCAGGGTCCAATGTTGTCCCCAAAAAAAAAGGGAGAATTGTAATTTTGGTCCCCAATCTATAATGTATGTGCGGAATTATCCCCTATCTATTTCGAAAATCAATTTTGGTCCCCAATCTATTCAATTTTGAGCTAAAGTGGACATTTGACGGAATCTCTTCAATTTCAATCGGAACTAAGTCACGTGAGATCACGTGCCGACACCTACAACCCCTTTTTCAATTTTTTTAATTTTTAAAGCACGTTTTTTAATATTTTCAGCTTTCTCTTGCCTTTTGTTTTATTAAACAAAGACATGAAAGGGGTAATCTCACAATCCAAATTACTTCTCTTGTTGGCCGGCGCCTTCAAATCCCCAGAACCCACAGCACGAGTAAGAAGCTCAGCTTGGCCTCCAAGTCCAAGTCTCGTTCTTGCCTCCATTAGTAATAGAGATAATCTGCAATCAACGCCAGAGACGGATCCAGTTCAACTCTCCTGCACAAACAACAGGAGCAGCAGTAGCCGTAGCAGTACTACTTCATAAGCAAGCAAGCAAGCAGCCGAGAGAGAAGAGCGGATGATAATAATTGGAAATTAAAGGGATTATACGGACCAAATCATCAAAGGGATTATACTGGTAAGTATGTTCTTTCCCTATTAGCCATTCTTCACCATTGAACTGGAATGAGCATTCAATTGAACCACTAGTACATTATTGGTAGGTCATGCTTACGGCTGGAACAGACACTTCATCGGTGACTATAGAATGGGCCTTGTCTCTTTTACTCAACCATCCCGAGGTGCTAGAGAAAGCTCGAGCTGAATTGGATGCTCAAGTAGGGACTGATCGATTGATCGACGAACATGATCTATCCAATCTTTCTTATCTTCATAACATTATTTTAGAAACACTTCGGTTGTACCCAGCAGCACCAATGCTACTGCCCCATGAGTCCTCCGTTGACTGTAAAATTGGGGGATACAATATTCCGCGAGGCACAAATTTGCTAGTTAATGGATGGACAGTTCACAAGGACCCAAATGTTTGGGATGATCCAACAAGCTTCAAGCCAGAGAGATTTAAGGCTTGCAGGTTCAGCCATCAAAGCTGATTCCATTTGGGATGGGAAGGAGATCTTGCCCTGGTTCTAGCCTAGCACAGCGGGTGGTGGGTTTGGCCTTGGGATCTCTAATTCAGATTTTTGATTGGAAAAAAATTGGCGAGGAGGAGATTGATCTGGTTGAAGGGACAGGAGTGTCCATGCCAAAAGCCAAGCCACTAGAAAAAATGTGTTTTAGAAATTAAAAAATTGGAAAAGGGGTTTTAGGTGCCGGTACATGATCTCACGTGATTTAGTTCCGATTGAAATTGAAGAGATTCCGTCAATTGTCCACTTTAGCACAAAATGGAATAGATTGGGGACCAAAAATAATTTTTGAAATAGATTGGGGATGATTCCGCGCATATACTATAGATTGGGGACCAAAATTATAATTCTCCCAAAAGAAAAACAAAAAGATACATCAAATAAAGCTTTCAAAAACATTCTGAGCTGTATTTTCCTTACTCTTTCCCCTTAAAGACTGCCTAACTTGTGACTTGGATTATTAGTTGTAGAAGGGGCATGAACCCAAACAAAGGGTAAAATGACATTCCAGTTATGTAATCAACTCTTTCCCCTTCCGTCTTTCCCACTGATTTTTCTTGGAGTTGCATTTTACCTCTACATGAAATCACGTATTCTTCAAATCAATAAACTGTAAAGCCATGATCAGGTAATTTTATACTCCTTTCCAAGTGGTCATTTCGTCAATTTTTAGAGAGAACTGCATAAAATTAAGGAGAAATTGCACAGATAACCCTTCACATTTCCAAATTTATGGCACTGTTATTTCACAAATATAGGTAACATCTTTTGGTCCTTAATATATGTCCAGAGTTATTAGCGATTAGTGTAAATTAGGCATGTCAATGGGTAGAATCTTTCATTTGTCTGTTTTTAGTTTTTCTCCTTTTCCCAAAAAGTTTATATATATATATATATATTAGATTATTTTAAAAGTTTACTAATATATATTGTTTATGCATAGGTCTGAGTATGATTTGATTTGGACCTAGATTTAAATATAGATCATAGAAAATCAAACTCTACCTAAACACATTTTTCAACTACCTTTTTATCTCACATATATCATATTAAAAAAACTACAATAGTATTTTTTTTCACAAAATTATCCCAAATAATCTACTATCCAAACACACTAAGTACTACGAGTAGAAGGATGGTCTTCCTTCTTAGAAACTAAAGATGGTCTATAACGGTTGGTTAACGAATTCAGACTCATTAAGTTTATGGCAATAGAACTTCATAAAGAGTCAAGAACGAAAGATCATGAATAGGAATGAACAAATTGAGTCAAACCAAGAGTATCTTAAGGGTTTAAGTATTTTAGAAAGAGATTTTTTTTATTGGAATTCACAAACCAATAATATTATGTGATTGTATATTCAAATACTATAGCAAATATGATAACGATAATGCAGACATAAGCCACTAATACTTGCTCCAAAATTGAAGTTTAATTAATCCCTAAATCAGATTATTGGCTACGATATTAGCAAATTTCTTGTTGTTTCCTCATCTTCTTTCATCATTGCTCCTCATTCTTTGGCCGAACGGTCTCATTCCTTTACAAAATTTAGTTCCCTTATGGATCGGATCAACTTATAATTTGGAATTGCTCTTTGTCGTATTATCACAGAACAAAATAGGAAAAGTTCATGTTGGAAAAGTTTATCTAGCGGACAAATTTCTACCAGCAAATCATGTTGTAATGTCTGATTCCATATGACAAAATGTGATCTTTAAGGATGAATGGAATGAAATTTGACCATGTACACACAATTTGTTGTGTTTGCTTGAGATTTAAGACACTCATAAAAACGCAAAATGTTATTACAACAATTTTATTTCTCCGTGGGGAAAAGAATGTTTCAGTTATATACTTGGACGATATAATGCACATGGAGAATTAAACCAAAAAGGGTTACTAATTTTGCTGGATAACATGAAGAAAAATACTAGTACTATTACTAGCTAGTTGTATTAACTATCTTAGGAAGGAAAAATTAATTAAAAGAAAATGTTTTGAATCTCACTGCTAGTGCATATGCGTTTAGCTGTACTAAAATATCTCTATCATATATATATATATATATATATAACAATATTCAGTTTTAATATTAGTAGGTTACTGAGTTAGCTATTCTAGCCTAATGCCAAATTCACAATCTATCTATCTTTTCACCATATGGACATCTTTTGAGTTTCTATTTTTTATTTTTTATTCTGCTTCTATTTTTTTTATAACAGCAAATTCCCTTCCTTTTACACTTTCTTATTTATAGTGACCTTCAATCAATTTATTAGTTCTGCTTTATATACATTCGTATTAATTATGTCTTACAAAATCTTTTTAGCAATCAATTTATAGTTTTCTTATATATATATGTGTGTGTGTGTGTGTTTCTTTCCATATATGTTTTATATTATGATAATTTGTCTTGATTATGTGTTAAAAGTTACTACTACTAAAATTTGGATAATCACGCCTTATGACACTTATTTCTTTCTTAAGGAAATTATTGCTCTTGCTCCAATATATGCATCGGTCTATTAGACTATATATTGGTCTCAAAATTAATTTTAGATTCAATTTTTATTATGTTCTGCTCACCGTTAATTTGTATTTTTATTTTTTTTATAGCAAGGGAGGATGGAATTTAAGAAGTCGAGAGAGGGAAGGGAGATTAAAAGCGAAAATCTCTAAATTCTAAAGTATCAACCTCAACATCTAGACCAAGGCCTCCTCGGCCATCATTAATTTGGTTAATTACCTTTACTTTATATTAAATGTTTACAAAATTTTTTTTAGTGCTCCTATCTAATTCTCATTTTGATTCATATTTATATTACATATCGTTTTCAAAATTTGGCTCATTTTAAGTTTTACATATAGTATATCATTTTTTCCATTCTCAAACTACTTTTGACTAGTTAATTGAAACAATAGTTCATCTATATAAATAAACATTTGAATTTTCAAAATTTGTGTTACAATATTTAATTGTGTTGTTGAATGCAAAATGATATTCTTAGCCTAAATTTTTGCATTAATTAGTAAATATGAAACTTAAATGAAGAATTTGATTCTAAAATGTTAGTATCTTATCTGAATTCTGCACAACATTCAATCTGAGCTCTTACAGATTATAAACCACAACTAAAAGTTTTTCACCAAATCCTCCAAATGAAAAGGAAGAGTTTTGCCAATTATTCGTTTTCTAAAACTCTAGAAGATAAAATTAGTCTAAAGAAAGATAATATATTCAAAAATACAACTTCATGTACTCTTAAACCTGTAGTGAAAGATGATTAAAAAATGAAAGGAGTCTGGAAAATTGAATATTTGGAAAACACATTCAAAACTAAAACTTCTTCCAAAAAAAAAAAAAAAGGAAGTCTAATA